CAGATTTCCCATGGCCTCTTAGCTCATTAAGATGGCTGGGTTTTGACTTCATTTTCCCATTCAAGTTTCCTTTTTGTTATTTGTGGGAAAAATACAACCTTTCCCCATATCTCCTACTTAGATTCTCTGCTCTTTGCCAACCCACTTCCTGCAGATCAGTCCTGGTTTCTACCCACTCTGATCCCTAAATCCTGCTGCGCTGTGACTGTCCCACAGAGCTGAATATTGTTACTGCAGAGCATCTTTGGCTGCTGGTTTCTCTCCTCTGTTGGATTTTGTTGGTTTTGACCCATAAGGTGTGAAGAAGACTATGGAAATGATGGTCCTTGAACATCTGGTGCCCCTCCTCCATATATTTCGAAGGCCCCATATTCATTTCTGATCTTGTTTAGTTGTGTTTAATGTTTGACATATTTAAATAAGATTTTTGACCTGTAAAATAATATTATTTCCATTGTTTTAGCCAACTCCTTAGAACCTAACCTTAATTTTCCCCACTAACACAAAGAATCTGCTTCTTGTGTGCAAGTTGAACTCATCACCTTCTGGGATATACCATTGATATGTATGAGTAGATGCAATCTGGGTTTGATATAGACAATTGTGCTCATGTTAATCAATGATCAGAGAGCTCACAGACTGGAAAATAAATCATACTCTGGAATATCAGAAAATCTCCAATAAATTCATATTTTCTAAATTTCCAAAAAACATCAATGCATAAGAAAGAAAAAGTACTGCACTTTGAGCCATCTCCCAAAACAATCATTTTTAAACATTTTTGTGATTAACTAGGAGTCATATATTCATTATGTTTTTATTTTGATTTATCAGTAGCTGTATTATAAGCACTTGGGTTTATCTTTTAAATGTACAAATTTTATCAATTCTAAGAAGTGAAATGAATAGTCCAGATGACATGAATGTTTCTTTTTCTGGCAAAATTATGTCCATAAAGGTCATATTATTTACCTTAAACACTGTAATAAGAATTTACTCAAACATTTATGTCTCTTTTTCTCTGTATATATAACACAGACATATTTACATACTTATGTACATTTTTCTCAAACGTTTTGGGAATGTTCATTTTCAAATATTTTGTAAAAGAACAATTTAATAAATTCTGTATACAGATTTACAAATTAAAACATTTCATTATTAATCATATCTCCAGGTTATTTTGAGGCAAAACATTGACATAACTGCATCATATTATACATATTATTTTCCAGGATTAGTGGTGTTTGCCTGAAATCCCAGACACTTAGGAGGGTGAGGGAGTGCAATACGAAGTTCAATGCCAGTCTCAGCTACTTAGTGAGAACTTCAGGATCTTAGCAAGACTGTGTCTAAAAATTGAAAACAATTTGGAATATAGCTTAGTGGTAAAAGCACCCCTGGGTTTAATTTCCAGTACCCAAACCAACCAAATATATTATTTAATGTAGTTATCTTCTGAATACATTAATTATTTGGATATATATAATTATTTGGATATATATATATATATATATATATAAAATTGGCAACAATCCAATTGTTACCATTCACATTGTTGTTCAGTAGAATACATCTTCTGCAACCTGTAAGTTCTGATATGAATGATGCCTTTGCCATTGAAGCAATA